AACTTGGGGTATTGCAGGAGAAGCTCGTCCTCCCGCTCCCAACTGCACTCCTCCGGAGTTCTACCTTTAGTTATCTCTAATCAATTATGTTCAATAGTATTTTGAATTCACTCACACCGTGAAAAGTATATATATGTGATGTGCTTTACCACAAAGCACACGCTCTCAGCATTTCTCCCATTATTGGAAGGATCCATACAGTTTGACCATCAATCAAAGGATGATAAGCAATACTTATTTTCAATTAAGTGATGAAAGCTCTTTGCAATGCACTCTAACACTAAAGGTGAACTTCGGGTACCGATCATTGGCAGTGCTCTCATGTACCCCATGAAGTTCTTACAATTACACTAATTTAGCAACTAGCCAACAACTCCTTGGAAAATCTTGCCTTCCCAGGCACAATAGGGCATACTTAATCATCATGTCCAAGACAACCAAAACAGAGTCGAAGCAGATCTAAATCTTCGACAATCCGAGAATAAAATCTCAGGTCAACGCACATATAAAGATTACCTCCTTGAGGTATATTTCTCATAATTGTTGAAACAATATGCTCCTTAAATCATGCAAGTTCAAATACTCGCTTGTACACGTTTCAAAACTACCATCATAAAGTCGTAGCAACATGGATAAACGGTTCCTTAACTCAAGTTTTCATGACCTTGTGTCAATACCGATCCAACATCCACATACGAAACTCCGAAACATTTTCCAATTTGCCTTTCGGGTCTGAAGTCATCAACATCGAAATCGTCGTCCATTACTCCCACAAATTCTAAAAGCATAATTCTCGCTCGCGAACTCACACAAGAACAGTACCCTTTCAAGTACCACGTCAAGGGTAACATCATTTGTGAGAACCGCCAAACGAGCCATAATCTATTATCCCTGGACATTCTAATTTTAGGAGATATTCACGAAGCTTTTTCTAATTCACAACTACCTCCATTTTACTAGGATCACTAGTCACTCTATCAGTAGAGATGACCTAACCCACATTCTTTATTCCACACAATAACTTGAGTGAGTTTAGGTCCTATTCCATGACTCTAGTCGTGTCACGACTTACAATTTTCATAAGTCATTACTCTTTAAAATAAAGCCATAGTTCTTTCATAGTATAAAACCATATTCATTTAAGCCAATATATGTTAATTACGATATCAATTCACATAATAGCGTACCTTAGTTCATATACACCTGCAAAATTAACAATTCAAACAACAAAATAAATAAAATACTCTACATAACAGTATACCTCCATCTCATGGCATCTACAAAAATCAAAAATCAAAAATCAACAAAGGGTGAAATGACATCGATATATTACCACAGTTATTTATATTTATTTCACGCTTTGCACTATCCATGGTGTTCGCATGCAATCTACATGTACATCAAATCAACTTTTTGGACGTAATACTCTAGATTCATGGAGACCACTCAATCCACAAAACTAATTCTACATGCACCTATCTCGCATATTCCAGATCGCACATGACTTTGCCACATAGTTCACACTTAATTCCTTAAAGAGAATTTCACACTCTCAAATGAACCTAACTAGAGAGTGTTTTCACTCACACGCAATAAGATATCATCTCTTACGTTTTTAAAATAAAGCACCATCACAAATTATGTAATAGCGTAAAACATCTTACCTTTCATGCCAAACTTTGGCATATCACTCTTCGCATATTTTAATCATCCCACCGCTTGGTGGTTGTAGAATATAAACTCATGTCAAGTCTTTCAATGAATCATTATACCATGAGGCAAACTAAAATTGATTGATCTATGCACCTCGTGCACCAAGACCCTCGATGAGTCACACTCAAATCGGTGCCCTCATGGGACTTCCAAGAGTTAACACTCTTAGGATCCAATCCCCAAAGGAAAGCCCCTGACATAGATTATTGGCCAAAGAACAATTAGGCATAGTAGCCTCCCGTTCACCTCATACACAAGGACCACTCAATGAATCATATACCAACTCTGCATGTAGACACCAATTTCGCACGTAGAAGGCGCATTGCACGGCTTCCGCCCAAAATTTCTTCGGCATGTTCTTGCTCTTGAGCATTGACCGAACCATGTCGAGAATGGTCGCGTTCTTCCTCTCGGCCACACCATTTTTTTGTGGAGAGTACGGTGCGGTTAGAAATCGCCTTATGCCTTGCTCCTCACAATACTCCATGAAAACCGTCGAAGTATACTCGCCACCTCTATCAGATCATACAGATTTGATGTGTCTACCGGTTGCCTTTTCCACCATCACTTTGAACTTTTTGAACACCTTGAATGCCTCATATTTTTCTTTCAAAAAATAAACCCAATTTTTTCGTGAGAAATCATCAATAAAGGAAATGAAATACCTCTTACCGCTAAAAGATTCAGGGGTGATTGGTCCACATATGTCGGAATGAATCAACTCAAGAGGTTGCTTAGCCCGATATTCTACCTTCTTTTGAGACGAAGTTATCGCATGCTTGTCGAGCACACATTCTTCAAAAAAATTCCCTCGTAGTCCATGTCTAGTAGCCCGTGTCGAGGTACCACACCGTGTCATTGTTGGTGTTGCCTTCGTTGTGTGTCATCATAAGAAGACCTTCTTTTGCCTCATCTTTCGTGGCTAGGTTGGTTGTCTCTTCCACCTTTTTTTCGACTCAACATTCTTTCACGAAATGCCCTACCTGGCCACAATTGTAGCACTTATCAGAGTTGCAATCCTTCGCATAGTGACCATATTTGCCACACTTGTAGCACTCGATGTTGGAATAATTCGAACGACCACCTCTTCCACAACCGCGTCCTCTTTCACGCCAATTTTGTTGGTTTGATTTCCCTTTCTCCTCATAATGCCCTTCTTGACCGCGACCTCTACCACTACGATCATTTCCTCGACCTCCACGACCACGCCCTCTACCTCGAAAGTTTTGAGAATAAAGTGCATTTTCGTCTTTGATTGATGCCTTGGTTTGAAGTGCTTGCCGAGTGTCTCCTTCTTCTTCTTCTTCTTACGTTGTTTGTGTGCCTCGAGAGAACCAGCTAGCTCATCGACCGTGAGCGTTGCTAGGCCCTTTGAATTTTCTATGGCACATACGATTTTCTCGAAACTGTCGGTTAACGACCTTAAAATCTTCTCCACAACTTGCGCATCGAGTAATGCTTCTCCGTTTCAGTTGAGTTGGTTCACCACAATTTGAAAGCGTGATGTAGTCGGAGACACCTTCCGACTCCTTCATCTTCATGCCTTCCAACTCACCGCGAAGAGTTTGAAGGTGAACTTGTTTAACTCGGTCGGCTCCTTTGTACACTTTTGCCAAAATGTCCCACGCTTCTTTTAAATTTGTGGCACTCGCAATCTTCTCAAAGCCCGACTCGTCAACAGCTCGGAACAACATGTACAATGTCACCTTATCTTTTGATCGTACTCTTTCAACGCCTTGTTTTGAGTCGCCGTATATCCCGCGGTAGTTGCCGGTTCTTCGAAACCTTCTTGTACCACCTCCCAACCATCTTGAGACCCGAGATGAGCTTTCATTTGGATGCTTCAATTCTCGTAGTTTGCCTTCGTTAGTCGGGGTAGCGGCACATTACCGGTCACACTCTCCATTAGCTCTGATACCAATTTGTTGGGAGAAGAGTAGAAAACAGAGGAGATATTTTTTAAGGCAGAAGAAGTAGTTACTTTCACATTCAAACAATAGTTTTAAATTACAAAACTTGTAACTTCACAAGAAATACATAAAGACATTTAACACCACAATAAACTCACATAATTTCATAAACTTAAAAAACACAAAATTAAATATTTAAATCAAAAAGAAAAATACTAAATTAAACTCAATAAAAACTAAAACTGACATTTAATATTTATTCAACAAAACAATAAGGGTCATGGACCCCACAGAGGAGAGGTGAAGACACCACCAAACCAAGGAGAATTTTCGAGGAACACAGTGTACAGGTGAAAAGACATTTTGGTGCTGTCAATGCATGGAAATGGAGCATTATTGCTGATGAGAAGAAATGGGTTTAAATCCCTCTTTTCGACGTGAGTAAAGTGAAAAGGGAAGAAAAATAAAATAAAATATTTTTAACGATAATCCCTAATTTACCCTTGTTACTTTTACTGTGGATGTTACTCTTACAATATCTAGCAAAGCTCATTTTAAAAACTTATAACTATATCAATTAATTTTTAAGGTGTGTTTGGTACAAGAGAAATTTTTTGGTGACCGAGAATCATGTTAATGGGAATACAGTAGAAATTGAGTTTACTTAGAATCTTACGAAAGAGGTGTTTGGTTCGCAAAAATATTACCGGGAATATTGGGTAAAAATTACTGATTCCATATTTGGTTTAGAACAAAATATGACTTGGAATATGAGGTTATTTTACAAAAATAACTCTAAACTATTTTTACTTTTGTAATTGATAGATTGGGTCTAGATTTTTATGTGTATTGGGATATTTTTATCTCAAAATTTATTGTTGTACTTTCCTTTTACTTGGTATTTTGATTGGTATTCCGAATTACCATATTATTTTTGGTAATCTGAATAGTGACTTTTCTTTATAAATCAAATTATCGGGAATCGTAATTTATTCCTTCTACCAAACATGATAATTACATTTACCAAAAAAGGATTACCGTTAATCGTCTCAAAAACTTGAAACAAACACAAGTTCGTTAGCTCACTTTCATTTCTCTTAATCGATTGAAACCGTTGGTCAATAGCTATAAATAACGCAAAATCTTAACCATCCAAATTTATTATATTAATTAAATCCTCCACTCCACATTGGCGGAGCCACACCAAAATTTTAAGTGGTGCCAAAAATTTTTGACATATTAAATTATTAAAATATTTATTATAATTACACAAACTAATCAGGAAAAAAATTTATTATAAATTCTAACATAGTTATCTAAATTATATATTAAATAATATCACGTAACATTGAAAATTCAAATGAACAATTATCAATGATTACATATCAAAGCAAACATATAAAAAGGCACTCAGGTGATACTCCACTACACATCTTTCTCATAAATTAATGAGTTACACAAAATTGCAAGAAAAAAATAATAATAATAAAACAGAACGGAAGAGATGACTACCCTATGTGAGGTAATCAAGAATTCTAGAACAAAATCAATACGTGATAAAACCCACAAAGTGAGAACAGAGACAGAGAGAGAAGATAGAAAGCTGCTCTTAGCAAATTAAGGCGAAGCATGATTGGCTAGTTTGATCAGTAGTGTCCCTTGTTTAAGAACTTCCCAGTAAGACCACATGTTAGAGCTTCTGAAGGTATTTTCTTCACTTTCTGAACAGCCTCAGCAAAAATCACACCCATTCCCATGTGCAAATGAGGCTCAATGTGGCAATGAAAAGCCCAAACTCCAGGGTTATCTGCCTTAAACCTCAATGCAGTCCAACCATAGGGAAATATCACTGCAGTGTTCCTCAATGGTGCATGAGTCAAGTTGAATTTCTTCTCATCTCCAAGTTTGAATTTTCCATCTCCATACCCCAAAACCCAGAAATCATGGCCATGCAAATGCCAAGGGTGAATCTCACTGCCATTCCCAGTTAACTGGTTTGCATTCTGTAGTATCACATCGATAACCTCATTCAGCTGAAACATGTAAACCCCATTACCAATAGTTGCATTAGGGTTCACTGGAGGGTTGAATACGTCATATTGCTGTTGGAAATTCTCTGGAGGAGGCTTTGTGTCAAAGGCATTGTTTAGCTTAAACTTGATGGATCCCAAGTAAGGTGTTGGTGGCAATGTTAATGACACGTTGTTAATGGCCCATTTGGTGAATCCATCAACTTTGTTTTGTGTGTTGAGAAGCAGAATTCTACGGTGAGAGAACTTTGGAGGTTGTGGAGTTCCCATCTTGGCAATGATTTTCTTAGTAAAGGCTTTGCTACGCTCAAAATCATTCCATAGGGGAGTGATGGGTGGTGGTGAAGTTGGAAAAACTGAGGCAGAGATTGCCTTGTAGTTAAGAATGGTTAAGCCTTGTGGGGTATTGGGCTTTCTTCCTCTAACCCCAATTGAAAGCCAATAGTTTTTTTTTGGGTCTTGATCTGTGGTTAGGAGCACTGAGTAGGTTTCACCAGAGTATATGTCCATGTCATCAACCGCGAATGGTGTCACGTAGTTTCCATCAGCTTCCACCACAACCAGTTTGTGATTCTGCAGCGCATAGAAATTACGTGGAGCTGTTCATTATTTGATGAATAAAATAAATCTATGGTCCCATTCATGATGAAACTAATTGCATACTTAATCAAGTAGATCTGTTTCAGAAAGCTCATTAACCAAGGCTTGTAAAATTTGATTTTTTTTTTTCCTTTAAAACAAAGGATATATTTTTCTTAGGAATAACATCTGTCATTTTAAAGGATATAAGCTTATATCATTTTAGATCCTAACCGTTGATTTTCATCCATCAACGGTTATAATTTATTGGATCAAGATTATTAATTAATTAATAATAAATTTGGCCCATTAAATTTGGCCCAATAGATTATAACCGTTGATGGACGGAAATCAACGGTTATGATCTAAAATGATATAAACTTATATCCTTTAAAAGGATAGATGTTTTTCCCATTTTTCTTATGTTTTAGAAAAAAAATTACCTCATGTTATAGACTTAAAAGTATAAGTGGGATCCACAGATAAGAGAAGAGAGAAAAAAAAGTGGTGGGACATAATCCCTTTTTGTGTGTGTAGGAAAATTGTTTATCTTATGTAAAATGAGATAAACATAACCTTTAAACAAATGTATAATCAAAGTAACATAATTTTTCATGCAAAAATTTATCAAAATCAAACATTGTAAGTCGCAAAACAAAGAAAACAAGATTTGATTAATGAATGGACTTTTTTTTTTTTTTTTTTTGGTAAAATGAATGGACTTTACTTGCACATGTTAATTACTAAATTTAAACAAAAGTAAACTGCAATTCTTAACTTCCTGCTGTGGAAAACTGTATCATCTATTATTCTACCAAATTTAAATATCAAGTTTCTCTCTTTTCCCATAGTGTTCGACAACTCAGTGACAGTGAGTTCCACGTACATGCATTGCGATTCTAATTTTTAATCATCATCCCCATTTTTGTGGCATTTCATTTAGCCAAGTGTTTTCTACAACATTCACTGACTCTTCATTTTATACAACACTTTTCATTTTTCAGAATTATTTTTACCATATTTTAATTCTGATGTAACGATTATCACAAACGTTGCTCTATAAAAAAAATAATTAAGGTAGAAAGTAGTTTTTTTCCCCAAATAATAGTACTACTTCATATATACGAGTGAATTTTCAAAATTTATGCCATTTAAAAATTATATATTAGAATTTCAATTTTATAAATATTTAAATAAAATAAATAAGTATGTAAATTATGTACAATTTTTTCGGTAAATTTCTAGTCTTTATTTCCTCAATTAGATTCTTCCTACATATAACCGGCTAATTGGGCTGCACACAACAAAGTCGTAGATTTCCACCTTTTTACATAACATTTTTTTGAATATAATTGAGGGAAAGATTATTTTAATCATCCATCTTTACAATCTTTATTTCTCATTTATTTTCAAACTTTCTTGACCCATTTGTTCGGTCTTTATTGATACCTAAACTATTCTATTCTCAGATAATAAACTATTAAAAGATGAGCCAGGGATTATTCCTCCATTGCTATCACTTCTGTCAACAATTATTGGTTGTTTTTTTATTTAGTGGGAAGTGGGGACAAGGAAATATCTTAGATTAACGTAAATCAGACAGCTAATGGTGGTCACTAAGATGCATATATACGCAAAAGCGAATGTGAAACTTCCACGATACATTAAGATTAGACATCCACATTAATTGGAACCAAACAAAATGATAAAAAGTATAAAAGAGATATAATGAAATGCAGCATTCCATAGTGTGATAGAGAAAACTCACTGAAATGGCCAAATTGAGGGAAGCTAATGATGTGGTACTAGCAATCCTGATCCTATAGGTCTTGTTTGGCTCCACATGGAGAATCTGAGGTGAACATTCTTCCCCACCTTTAAAATTGCATTGGGGTAAGGTGGTGTTGATAAATTTTGCTGCAAGGGAACAATTGAACTGTCCTCGTCCATTGATTAACAGAGTCTGAAAAAGTGAAAAGTGTGTGGAGAATGAGAAAAGAGACTCATTCCAAAAGGCTACGCGACAAATATGAAATAATTCTCTTTAAGTTTCTTTTTCCTCTTAGCTTCGTCGTCTTTAATAAAAAGAACCTACTAACGCGTAATACAAAAGCAAATCCCACCCTTAGAAGAAAAATATCTTTTAAACAACTACTTTGAAAAGTATGGCTTCTATTAATTTTGTTCAAAAATAAAAATCTATTAAATAAGTTTTTAAAAATTTTATATGCTATTACATTTGTCTTTATACAAAAATTAAAATAATAATATGGAATTAAAATCTATACAACATGCATGCATGTCTCTCCAATGGAATGACTTTCACTTCTCACTCTTGATAGAGATAACAACTAGATAACTCTTGTGGGAATACCGACAAGATGCCTGTAATACGGAATATAACGTGGTTTGCACGAATATATGAAGGAAAAAGTTTAAAAAAACCCGCCCTGTTTTGAATTATTTATACCTTTTGTGTTTTTTAATTATTTAATTTTCTGTGATTTTTTTCATTCATATCCCTTTTTAATAAAAATTAACTAAGTATATCTATTATACTTCTTTTAAATGAAGAAAAAAAAATGAAAAAAAAAATCAAATATTATGAAAACTTAAAATACTCAGTAAAAGACTAAAAGAAAAAAATAGTAAAAAAAATCAAATGTGTCAAAATAAAAAAAATAGAATAAGAACAAAAAAATATAAGAAAAAATAAAATTAAATATATTAAAAATCACAACAGTGACAGAGAAAAAAGATATAATAGATATACTTAGTTAAATTTTTAACAGTATTAAAGAGGGGTGTGGATAAAAAAATCACACGAGATTAAATGATTAAAAAAAAACACAAGAGTGTAAGTGACTAAAAGTAATACCACATGGAGTTTTTTTAACTTTTCCCATATATAAAATATAGGTTAAATTTTAAAAGCTAAAATTAATAATAAAATATTTAAGTTTACGAGAGATGCATGCCAAATTAATTTAGGTAAACTTAAAAATATATAAAGTAGAAAAAAATATATAAAAGATAAGAAGTTAAGAATAATATGTTTATTTTTTCAAGAGAGAATAAACTAAAAGACTTAGTCATTCTCGAAATAATATATTCTAATTTGACATGTAAGAGTGAAGCAATTGTGATTTAAGGGAGAAAATAAATGTAAGCGTAATAAGAGATATTCAAAGAAAACCAATTTGAGAGTATAAACTGCTGAGAATAAAAAAATATATAACTGCAATTATTTTGATATAATAAGTAATTATTACTATTTTTTTTAAAAAAAATGTTTTAAAGTTAGAAAGAAATATTTTAAAATACGTAATAATCTGAGAGTTTAGAAAACCTAAAAAATTACTAAACAAACGCGAAATTACTTGTCTAAAAGGAAGAATATAATAACAAATTATCTCACCCCTCAATGATAAAGATTTTATTTTGTTATATCGGAGTAAATTATTCAACAAATGAAGTTTTATTTTAATAAAAATGCGTTCCATATCACTATATAGACATTGCAATAAATAAATAAATAAAACTGTTGTCTTGGAATATTTGTGATTAACAAAAAAAAAAACAAAAAAAAAAAAGACAGAGGTATAAGTGGGGGAGGCGAGTGAGGAGAATTGGAGAATTCAATTATACCCAATTAAAAATCCAATACTACTTTATAGACATGGGTCACATGCGCAAGTTTTTCTATGCTACTTTTTGGAATTAGGTATGATTTCGATCTGGAATTTGGAACTTTACAACAAATGTTCAAATTTTCTATTAGTATTCCTCAGTCACATGGGGTAGGTACTTAAAAAGCTAATATATGAATTGTTTCAATCGGGTTCGTTAGTTGTATAAAAAAAAATTGAATCATGATACTTTTAATTTGTTTTAATAAAGTTACCTGAGGTTCACCGATCCATTTGAATGGTTTGGAAGAGAGGCCAACCTCTTGTTCATGTGAACTTGTTTGCCACAAATCACTCAGTAGCAGGTTGAACTCACCATCATAATGGAATGGCTCGTTTTGACCCTTTGGTAAATCTACTATCAAAGAACCATACAACCCTGCTGCTCTCTGCATACCATAGTGTCCATGATAGAAATATGTACCAGGCTGCACCATATAAACACCCATGAATACATTAACATTTAGTGAATAATGCTCTAGCTAGTCTAATTAAACAACAACAACAACCGTATAAAAAACACACAAAACACCAAAAGAGATACCAAAGCCCAAGATGCCACTTAGTATTAAAAAAGCAATCAAAGGACATGATGGGGTATCAATCAACATATACTTCTACGTAAATGGAGAAAATATAAGAGGAGAGAAATGTAATTACCCTGTCAACAGTGAATCTATAATGAAAAGTTTCTCCTGGGTTTATAGCACACTGTGAGATGGCAGCAGTTCCATCTGCCCAAGGAGTTCCGAGCTACAAACATAAAACGACAAAAATGTGGTATTTTAGATTAGCACTTGGCATGATAAAATCATCAGAACCATTCACATATTTCTTATAACCACATGCACACCTCCCATTAAATCCCGACTAGTGAGGGTACAGATGAGAATAATCTTTGTACATAACTTTACTTTTGCATACTTGTAAAAGAGGTTGTTTTTGGATAAAAATATGTGATTTCTTGTCATAAAAGAATAGTTTTACTACTGCTCCAGTTTCGTCTTCTTACTCACATATTTCTTAAAAAAAAAATTAAAAAAAAAAAAAAAAAAACCTGTCTGATTCCATGCCAGTGGATAACAGTTCCCTCTGTGAAAAGTTTGTTGGTAAGTGCAATGTCAAGGGTGTCTCCAACTTCAGCTCGGATAGTTGGGCCTGGAAACTGACCGTTGATTCCCATCACAACGTGCTCCACGCAATCTGGTGTCTTGATCATGTACTCCACATCAAACTTGTAGTGCCTCACCCTTGCTCCAAGTGATAACTGAAACAAACCCAACCATATGCACCAAAGTAAAAGAGCTCTGAAGCTCATTGTTGCTTTTGCTCAGAAGGCCTTAGGAGCAAGGCGTCAAGCAATTCAAGAAGCTATTGATCAACAAATGAACTCACAGATAGATTTATAAATATATATATATAAGAAATGAGTAGAGGAACAAGGTCGTATCTTGATTGTGGCACCATTGGTTAGATGGGCATTATATATTTATAGAGGTGCTTTGAGATTTCACATCGTGCTATGATGTTGTTTTTCTGATTATAATAGTCTTGCAAATTGCGCGTGGAATTTGTTTTTAATATGTCAACTAGTTCTTTATATAATCCTTTTTTCTAGAACAAAAAAATTAGGTATGATTTTTTACAGCAAAAAGTTAAAGTGAAATTTGTTCTATTTGAAGTCTTTTTTAATATTGATAAGAATAGTAGAATACGCCAATAATTGCATCCCGTTATGTGCAGTGCTAGGAATAATGTAACGCGGTCTGTGGATGACCTATGGCCTCGTTTTATACTAATTACGAGGTCTAGTTTGAAATACATTTATTTAAATGTTTATTTAATTAAATAGGTGATGTTCCAAACTGCCTAAAAAGGCTTTTAGGGAGCGTTTGGTACAAGGATTTTGGCCGGATTTTCGGAAAACTAAATGTTTTTAAATTTTAAATTTCTGGATATTATCGAAAACTGAATATAAAAATCATATTTTTGAAAATCAAGATTCTGGACAAAAAAAAATTTCTCCTCTACCAAACACCCCCTTAGGCTTTACAAACTGACCAACTTAAATAAATATAAACAATATATTATTATTATTATTATTATTATTATTATATGGATTTTTTTTACTGAAAACATATATCTATTGGTGTATTTAAATACTTAGGCTTGTTAGTTTATATAAAAGTTTAGACTCACTAATCTATTTAAAATTCGGTTACTTGTAAAGGCTTTAATATAAAGTAAGTGTTTCTTTAACATAGCAATTATTCAAATTACCATTAATTCCATCATATGATTAACGATAGAGGCACAAATACCCATTGATGTAAGTAAGAAGAAGTTTATTCTCCTAGATTAGAGATTTGAGTTGAAATTATGGGAATGGAGAAAAAGTTGTTGAAAAATCTTTTCAATATATATATAAAACCGAATTAAATAAGATTTGGATAAAAAATAAAATATTAAAGGCATTAAACAAAAGATTTGGTGTTTGTCATTTTAAATGATATAAGTTATGTTATTTTAGGAGACAGATAGACACAGAAAAATAAAAATCATGGGAGAGAGAAAGTGAGTGATTTTTTTTAATTTAAAATTTAAATAATTTTTTTTTCTGTATCTGTCTCTCTCTTAAAAGGACAGAGTGTTATGTCATTTAAAATGACAAACACTTTTTCCTTAAACAAAAGATATAAAAACCAGAAAGTGCGAAAGGAAAAACATGTGAAAAAGATGCACCCAACACGGAGAAAAGCACTTCAAAATATTTGGAAAGTCATTGCTATTATATAAATATATCGAAATTCAACCAGCACATGCTCTAATCATACGCTATACATGCAGAAAAAATCATGTAGTATATGAATAGCACACCTTGTTTGAAAGTTTTGATTATTTCTCCCATTGACTAATCGATATGGAAAGAAAGCTTTATTAATCCACACGCTACGCTCGTATAACGAAAAATAAAATTATATAAGCCATAACATCTGTCGTTAACAAGCGTTTCTTTTATGCTCCCGGATAAGCTGGGCCGGCTAGAGACAAGACGGAGGAGAGAGGAGAAAAGAGAGAGAAAGAGGCCACTGTATATGTTTTTCGTTGTTAACATATTGTGATTTAATTAGAGGTCTTGAGTTCGAATTCTAAAAATAGAGAAAATAATTTTAAGAGAGTCACCTTCTATAATGATGAGTCCGACAATATCCGAATCAAACTAAAACAGATGATGAACAAATGGATATATAAACAAAAATTGTGATTTCCTTTAGTTTTTGTTTTTTCCTTGACTCATTCTTTTTATTTATTTATTTATTTTTTTTTTGTAAATTTTTATTTATTTTCCTTTCTAAAATGAATGACCACCAATATACTGGCGGATTTCAGGAAAGAGCTCGATTATTTGTAAGGGTACAGGCTGTTGTGATGCCCATATAAATATGGCTAATGGCTCGATTATTTATATTTATATTGGTATCATGTTTATGCATGTGGCTCGGCTGTTCTCCAAATAAGATATTATGATTATAAATGTCATTTTCGCAAGGGAAACACTTCCATGAGACTTGGCTCTATTGGAAGCTACATGTTTGAGACGAACCATGTTACCCTCTCATAAAAGACGTTTTTATATAGGAATATTCTATCGTAGCTTTTCTGTTTAATTCAATATTTGATGATTAAAGCTAGTTTTTAGAGATATATATAATTTTAAAGTGGAAATTGGGGTGCTATTGGCACTCAGTTTCATTTTTTTAGCACTTCTTTTTATTATTGTTTAAATTAATTATTTAAAAAATTCCATTAAATTATCACTCTTAATAATTTAAAATTTCTACATTTATACTTAATTATCTATACATTTAAATTTATTTATTCTTTAAATTATAAATTAAAACTCGGATATTAAAAGATTTATAATTCGAATTCTTATTATATGTATTTTGATATATGTGTGTGTGTGTGAAAGGTTATATTTACAAATTTTTTGTTTACAAACTACACTAAGTATGACCGGTCATACTTAGTGTAATTTGTAAAAAAGTTTGTAAACGAATCATTTTCCATATATATATATATATATATATATATATATATATATATATAAAAAATATTTATGTTATCAAAAAAAAAAAATATTTATTTTATTATTAATTAGATTTTTAACTAAATTGCATATAAAAGGAAACTACTATATCAAAAAGAATATTTATAAACATATTATCATTATATAAACAAAACGTTAGGAAGGAAATGAATAGTCTTCTCTCTCCCTCCTTGTTTTTTAGTCCGTTATATTTTGATTTTAATTTATTTTGTAAAAATATATTTTAATTTTTAAATTTCATAGATAGCTCAAGGAATATACAGAACGGATTGAAAAGTTGGCCTATTTTAAGGCCGTATTCTCAATTCTGCTAGTTCAGAACTCCCAAAATATTGATATCCCCCTCTTCATTATCAGATGTATCATCTGATTCCATTCTTCGAATTAAACACCTAATTTTGTCTCCGTAAGTTGTAACTCCAAAACTTGAACATTCTTGCTCTATACCCGCATAAGTTGTCAATTCAAATTATGGATTCGTCTTCTGAATTGTTCATTTTCTACGTCTCACGAGTCTATCTGATGTGGTTGTCCATCTTCTTTAGAAACAAATCTCCTTCCCTTACCATCACTGTTGGAATATACAAGTGTGATTTGTCCTGTAACACCCCGTGTATACCCGGTTTGTTAACATGTCATCGTATTAAGCCACGCTTAATAAAATAATGCGGAATATCTTTTTCTTTTCAATTATGACGTCATTATCATTAGCCAAGTTGAATTACTTAATTCATTTCAAAACATTGCTTGTATGTAAAGTGAAAATAGACAGCTAACTGAAAAACCTCAATATATAAATAACTGTGAGTATCTAAAATCACGGAACTACAACACATAACCCGGACATAATCCTGATACATTATTACAAATCAAATATAAACTAAGACATAGTCAATCAATGTGGCATGGACAATCCCCATGCTCACCAAATAAGGCAACAAAGCCAAACATAGTCTCAACAACAGCAACATAGCAATAACAAGCTAATAGCATATCGTCAGCAGATATAATCCAACATCCAAACATATCATCATATAAACAACAGTATCAGCTAAGCTCCGGCCTCCTGCCGCTAGAGGTCTCAACCCCTGGGTTACCTGAACCTGAAATAAGCGCCCCAAACGTGGGATGAGATCTCTAAACAGAAATCTCAGTAAGGCAAGGGGTCCTCAAGAATCTTCCACCCCAAGCTCACTTACATGTGCAGTATAAGTTCCAAAAGTAGTAAAACAGTATAAGTTTCAAAACAGTGCAATGCAGAGATAATCATGTCATGTGTGTTATAACTAATCTACTGGACAGAGAAATGCAAGAATACTTCTATTACCCACACTAGTACAAGACACCACTTGCACCCACCCACAGTGTCACCGTCTTGTATGACGCCACATACTCAGGCTTACCGTCTAAGTGGAACAACACATACATATTATAAGCAATTGCACAATAAGCTCAACAACATTTTCAATTGTTAAAGCTGTAAACACATTATGCATATAAACCATTCCCCCATGGGGTATGGTGGAACCACACAATGGCTAAACCGAGGACACGAAAGCTTACCTTGCAAGCTAACTATCCACGCCAAGAGTCCACACACAGCAGAATCACAATCTGTTTTGGACCAATAATTATATCAATATTCAACCACAACAAGCATACGGTATAAAGACAACGTCTTTCCTTACGTTTCATGACTTTAGGCTTCTCACAAAGCCATAAGCCCTTAATCACTTGATTCTGACTTAGGCTAATCATTACAGAAGCCCAACTTCATCAATCTAGGGTCCACAAACCTCAAACACAGTTCTGTAAGAACAGTACAGACACTATCTCGAAATTCCCAGAATATCCGGATATTTGTCGGGGGCATATCCGGATATCCCATATCCAGATATCATATCCGGATATCCATATTCGGATATCACCAGATCCCATATCCGGATATCATATCTGGATATCATATATGTCCGGATATTTCACGATAGAATGCAGTTTCTGCATTTCGCAAGATATCACTCCAAAGGTTCCATTTTTAACACTTCACAACGTTAAAGCATGCATCTTTAAACCCCTCTAGGTCAGTTATCACGTTGGTTACTTGTTTATCTTATTACATATGTCAAGACTCCACTTTTACCCATTAAAACACATGATCAAAGGTGATGAAGCTTACCTAAGCTCAAAACAGAGCAGCAATAGCTCTTGGAGCTCTCACAACAGCTCCAAAGGTTCAGACTTGAAAAGAAAACGAAAATGGCACCCCAAAGGTTGGTTCTTTGCACAAAAGATGACTCATTCAAGCTCAAAATGCTAAGACCAAGGCTCTCTCCAAGAGAACCAAGTACTCAGCCTTCACAACCACACAAACTCAGAACCTAAACTCAGAAATGGAGTCTCGTACTCACTCCTAATGCAAG